GCTCAAACTGAACTGAACTGAACTATCAGCTGCTACCAGATCCGCAGAGATTGACACTCATTTACGGTCTCATTCGCGCCAGATATGAACAGATGTCAAACTGATTTACTCTGCACAGGTTATCTCCAGTGAGAGAATGAACCGGCTTCATGAAAATAACTAGCTGTAGATGCTCAGGCGAGGCGTACCGAAACAAGATCTTTGGACAGAATTAACCCATTTCTATTGCAGTGGTGGATTCCATGGATTCCATTTTGGAGTCCCCGATTCTCAATGTTGAACTTGGCGATTCCTAGCTAGGCTTTAAGCTACCCACTCACGTCTGTGGCACTGCCAAGGACACAGTATTGAGGTTACATGGTTGCATGAAATCTGCAGTTCATCACTCCATCTTGACGGTGTTAACCGAAATAACTTCTCCCGTCGTTGTGCATAGGACACCGTGATGAGACGCGTTTCCCAGATAAAAGAAGTATAAGTTGATATAGTTTCCTATAAAGACAACTTGTGAAGTTGTTTACATGCTGATTGCCACACTGGATCACGGTTGGTTTCAGTCGTTTCTAGCTGATTCAGTCGTCCGGTGTCTGAGGGACCGGTAAATTGAAAAATTCGCTAGCCGAACGTCCGGTATTTTCCGAAAACCAGCCCATCTGAAAATAGCATGACTTTATCGGGCTAGATACAATTGTCTAACAGACCTCAGTTTCCCACGTCAACTACGAAGAACTAAACTCACTCATATCTTAAATTGTTTTGTTTTGTCCTGGTTTTGCACAATTCTGGTATAATTTTTCTTGCTTACTGGTTCTACTTTAACTATGCAACCGTCGAATATTTACATTTCGGGGTGACTTGACTTGAAGTGCTCTATTATTTTTGTGCGCCCTGCGACTTACACGTTCTCCGCCACATTGTTGACCTTTTCACATTTTCATTCAATATCATGCGTCGTCGCTATTCAGTGGATCAAACGTGCCAGGACATTTTTTGACGATTCATCGGTTCGTGCGACTCCGGTTTCTCAATGTACAATTTGGACCAAAAAGAAGTGAGCGCGCAAGACGGCAAGTTGCTCTTAATTGCACCTCTTTGGCCGAGATGACTGTTCCGTCATTGGTCAGAACTAACCCTCGGTTCCTGGTTTCAATGATGTCAATTTAACCAGTGTTCTCCTATCAACTCATATGGACAAGTGTACAGTCCGTGTACAAGAATCCTGGTTGAATAAAGATATAGATGACTCTCTAATGTCGATAGACGGTTTTCAAGTTTACCGACAGGACCGTGGAACCGGAGGAAAAAAGACTGGAGAGGGTGTTGCGACCTATGTCAACGTTTCCTGGTGTGGCAAGTTCCATGTTATTTTTCAGTACAGTATAGTGTCTAACCGTGAGATAGCTCCCAAGATCTTTCCGTTTTACTCACAATTTTCACTAACTTGTACATAGCACCTCACTGCACACAATCAGGTCGTGTCATTATTTGACTCGTTTATATCTTTTATTGTCTCACTTTTAGATGCTAAATTACGCACAATCGTTGGCGACTTTGGCTATGCTAGTACGTATCCTGTTTTATCTTTAGATAAGACAGATATTTGTCACGCTCCCACAAGAGGTACCTTTATACTGGAAGGAGTAATCACCAACCAGCCAACTGACTGAAAAAGCTATCCTCAGACGCCTTCAGCAAGCTGCAAACAACAAACAACTTTGAGTCTGTTCGGTTTTTATTATTTGCCCTTCAGCATTTGACTCCATTCCTCAATGTTTTTATTACACATCTAAGTGTGATGAAAAGCAGACGGGGCGAACCCCATATTAACGATGACCGGCTGTTCAGTGGTGGAAACCGGTAACCTAATTTGCGGAGAGGATTCTCACAGATCATGACCACCATTCATTGCATGCAGAACTGACACGTTGTTGTTCTCATCACTACGCACGCTCTTTACTCCGCCAAATTTCATCTCGTATAAACACTTACCGAGATTCGCCTATAACTTATCGTGCACGTTTATTCACAAACAGGTAACAAGTGAACTTCGTTATAACCTTGGAAAGTGAAACGCGCCTATGCGTCTGAAAAGAAAACATTTTTCTCTGTTAAATAGCTGCAAAATGATCAAACGGTGCTACCAACACCCGTACCAACTGATGATCGCCGCGAATTCGGGAAAGTAAATCACTTTGCCTAAGGCGACCAAAAATGATTGTTGGACAAATCCCGAACAGACATCCATGTGTACTCACCTCGATCTTCCTCTTCTTCCGGATTAGGCTGATCGTCATCACTAAAACGAGTCCAGTTGGCAGGAGTTAAACTATTTGTATTCGGAGCTGGTGGAACGCGATGTGTCTTGGGCATCCCGGAATATGGATTTTGCCGCCTGTCCAATCGCGGACTCTCGTTCAGTTCGAATCCGGCAGCGGGAAATTCTGCGGACATTTCAGACAGTGTTCCAAACTGCAGGGACGAGAGCGGCATGAGAGTGAGCGAATGAACGGGTTAATGCATGAATGGGGAACGGGGAATTGTGATCAAATTCATTTTTGACGAAACGTGTCTTATGCACCTTCAAATGTGAGTGTTTAGCTGCATCATGATAGATTAAAGAAATACAGTCAAGCGATCTCCCTTGATTGCTGTTGGCAATTTATGAAAAGAATGAATGCATAAAGTAAGTAAAACAAAACGCTACGGACAATCTGGGCATACACACGTCTGAACATCTTGACGCGGCAAGAAAAGACAAGACCGTCATTGCGTCGATTCACTGTCATGTTCTTAAGTGCCACCAACCGACCACATTCAGAGTACACAGGTTTATAATTTTTTTTAATTGGAGTGCAACCGTTGTAACTTAAATTGAATCCAACCAATCGAATTCGAATGGGAATCCCACAAAGTGCTTGGCAGTTCAACCATCACACCACCGATTGAACCGAATCTATCAAAATCCCGTCCAGTCGGAATGATCAAATTTTCCATAGACAAACAAAAGTACTTTTGGAGTGAGATTGAAATTTCCTGTGGGGCGGGGTTTGACTATTCACCCACCAACCTTGGCTGTTGGTCGAGTGAGCTTTAGACGAGATTGAACGGACCCGGGGCTAAGTGAGCTCGTTCGGCCAGGTATGGAAGCGAACCACGTCAAGATGGATCGATAAATCGTTCACCATGCTCAGGCG